GGATGCTTTCGTCATAGCTGGGAACCCTTCTCTTCTTCTCTTGGTGTGTCCTTGGACGCTTGTGTCGTAGCTGGGAACACCTTCTTTTCCTTTCCTTTCTTCTTCTTTCTTCTCTTCTCTCCCTGCCCCTCCCTCCTGTCGGGACCTTAGAGTGGGGGGCTCCTGGCCTTACTAAGGTGCAAGGACGCTATGAGGGATGAGATTCACCGTTTTTGGAAGAGAAGCCTATTTTCGGGGAGGCGGGTGTGTGTTTGTGCCCTTGTAGTCACAGGGGTTCTTTAAAAATTGTAGTTTTGAGCAGGGGGGCACAGGAGGCCCATAGAGCTGTGCCCAACGAAGCTCTCTATGGTGACCTCAGGATATGCAGCCTGATCAGCTGCACGTACCTGCTGAATTTCAACATTTGCCGAGTTAGCTTCTGCAGTCACGCACGCAACGTCGTGATCTCGCCCTGTTCGTCGTTTTCGACCTTACGCTTTTGGCCTCACTTCCTCTTGAAGACCCCCAGGATCCAGGGCTTCGTGCATGTACTCTTGGGCATTGGAACCCTAGGCCGGCGTGTGGCACCGCTGTCAAGTCAGTATGCATTTCCATAAGTGTGTTTGGCCTCGCGCCAACCCGGGATGAGCCTGTAGAGTGCCTCCCGTACACCCGTCGAACGGGGGTTTGTCGTTATCTCCGCTGCCCGGAGATGTAAGTGTCCGTAGCGGACAGCAGATGGCTTATGCCACAAGAAGCGGGATGTTTGTCTCATTTTTGGAATTCCCAGCTGGCTCATGCCTTTACGTGACCGCAGCGGTCAAAGGTGGCAGCCTTCTGGCAAGCCGTACGTGGTCACAGCGACCGAAGTTTGTTCAAGGTTCATTGGAACCTGTCGCGAGCTTAGTCCCCCCTCCTTCCCCTTCCCTCCCCTTTCTTTCCTTGCTTTTTTGGGGTTTTCCTGAATGGAAGACTCAAGATCACCCCTTTCTTTCTTTGGTGTGTCCCTGGACGATTGTTCGTAGCTGGGAACACCTGCTTTTTACTTTTCTCTCCTCTCCCTTTCTCTTCCTCTCTCTTGCTTTCTTTCTTTCCTCTCTTCACCTTCCTTCCTCCTTGGGTGTCCCTGGATGCTTTAGTCATAGCTGGGAACCCTTCTCCTCTCTTTGTTTGGTGTGTCCTTGGACGCATGTGTCGTAGCTGGGAACACCTTCCTTTCTTCTCCTTCCTTTTTCTCGTCTCTCCCTACCCCTCCCTCCTGTCGGGACCTTAGCTTGGGATGCTACTAGGGGCTCCTGGCCTTCCTACTAGGTGTTTCTTTGACGCTACTAGAGGTTCCTGGCCTTACCTCTACTTGGAGATGAAGTACACCTCGTTGCCTCGTTGATTGGAATTCTTGACATGCTTGGAGACGAAATACACCCGCTAACAGAAGTACACCTCGTTGATTGGAATTCTTGACTTACTTGGAGACAAAGTACACCTCGTTGATTGGAACTCTTGACGTTTACCTGTTGGTGCCATTTATCATTTGTCATCAGTTTCATCCAACCTTCCCGGTGTGGCGCTTAGAAAACTTGCCTCCCTTTGGGGAGGCGTTTGTGTGTGCCCCTTGTAGTCACAGGGGTTCTTTGGAATTGTAGTTTTGAGCAGGGGGGCACAGGAGGCCCATAGAGCTGTGCCCAACGAAGCTCTATGGTGACCTCAGGATATGCAACCTGATCAGCTGCACGTACCTGCTGAATTTTAACATTTGCCGAGTTAGCTTCTGCAGTCACGCACGCAACGTCGTCATCTCGCCCTGTTCGTCGTTTTCGACCTTACGCTTTTGGCCTCACTTCCTCTTGAAGACCCCCAGGATCCAGGGCTTCGTACATGTACTCTTAGGCATTGGAGCCCTAGGCCGGCGTGTGGCACCGCTGTCAAGTCAGTACGCATTTCCATAAGTGTGTGACCCTTGAAATCACAGGGATCCCTTTTTTTGGAATGTATTGCCTGAGTTTTTTACTTCTGCTGATAGCAGGGGAGCGGTGGTCAATCTTGAAGTCACTGCTCAACGAAGACACTTCAAGTTTGCTGTGATATGCAATCTGGACGCAGATTGCACGTACCTGCGAGAAGATGATCACCACTCATTTCCCTTTGGGCCCCTATTGTAACTAGAACAAGAATTCTGGCCATCGCACCTGTTTGCATTGGCAGTCATGCATTTTGAGCTTGGAGGTGAGGGCAGTCATTTGGCATTTCGTTTACCTGAACCCTTAGGTTTTTCACTTAGGCTGGCGTGCGGCACCGCATTCACATCAGTATACGCATAATCATAAGTGTGAGGCTCGTTGCAAATTTGACTGACACTTGAATAGCGCCTCCTCATCAATCTGATCACGCCTTCCTGTGACATTGCCTCAGAAGAAGCAATGATCTGGCATGATTTGTTTTCATGGATTCTGCGCATTCGAAGCTTATGATTCAAACTTCCGCAAGCCCCCGACTTGAGCTGCAATTCACCACGAGGTGCTCCACCTCTTGGCTTTTGACGTGCGAATTGGTCGTTGCTGGTTCTGAGCAGTTGTCATCGATGATTGAAATCAGTGTTCTGGAGACCCCCAAACTGCACCTGGCCAAAAGGAAAGTAACCAACTACTGTAACCCATTGTAACCCATTACTGGAACATGTCCATTTCAAGCCGCCCACTTGTTCCGCCTCTGGCGGCTCGCAGGGTGGTGCAATTCGGGTGCAAAGTGTCTCGGATGGGGCTGACCTGGAACTTGCCAGAATGGATCACCAATAATGGGTCAGAGGACCGGGGTAGGCCTCATACATGATGGAGGGTGAAAGTCCCGCTTTGGATCGGTTTGAATTGGGACTGAGGAAAGGATTTCATTCACCACTTGTTAGCAAATAACACAGCGCACTGCATACCACGATCAGGGCTCATTGCAGGTGCAATCGCAGCACCCAATTTGTATAGTGTCAAGAGTGCAAATTTCTGCAGCAAGAAATATAGCACAATGCAAGTATAGACTGGGGCGCCGAAAGTTGCGCTTCTTGACTTCCAAAACGGGACGAACCCTTTTCCTCTAGAATCCTACGCGCAACATGTCGACGCCTAAGTTGCGGTCAGATTTCCACACCT